CTCTAAATACTGGGGCTCAGGCAATCCACTCACCTCGGCCTCCCAAAGTGCTGGGATTACAGGCTGAGCCACCGAGCCTGGCAAACATCGAATTTTTCAATGCAGGCTCTGAGGGTGGCCAGTGAACAGCCATGCAGAATGTTTGCTGTTTGAAAAACAGCAACAGCAACAACTTTAGTACTGTTCAAGTAGTTTTGTGATTGATGAAATGGTATGCCACCTCGCTGCCTAGTAAAAGAAAGAGATATACTCATTCACATTGGATTGTGAAATCACAGGACTTATTCATAGGAAGCCTGCTCTTTTTTTTTTTTTTTTGTGGTCCAGAAATATGTATTCCTTTCAAATAGTTTTACATCCTCTTCTCTTCTTTCATGCTGACAGTGTGAGGAGAGTCAGGCATTTTCCTCTTTTGCAGGTTGAGGAACACAGGCTGGCAGCCAGCCAGGAGGGCGTGGCAGGCGTGTTGTGGTTAAACACGGATTTGGAATCCTGTTCAGTGCTGCAGCACCTACTGGTGGTGTGGCACATGCTGTGACATTCTGAGGCCTCAGTTTCTTGTCTGTAATCAGGAGACAGTCGGAATGATAGCTAGTTCAGAGGGAGTTGGGGAATGAATAAAACAGCATTTGGGAAGTGCTCAGCCTAGTTCATGCTCAAGGAGAGCCCTTACTTGAGGACTCTGCTGTCCCTAGCTGGAGAGCAGGAATGTCCTATTTTCATAGCTCTTTGATGTTTTTGTCACCAAACCAGAGTATTTACTTTTTCCTGTTTGTGAAACACCCTCACTTCCTCCTGTGTTAAAAGAAAGCCAGTCACAGGGTGACAAAATACTTTGTGTCAACACAATCTGTTGCAGTTGTAATTATGTATAAGTGATTGATTTCATTGACTTTCTCCTCACCATGTAGAGTTTTTTTGTTTGTTTGTTTTGTTTTTGAGTTGAAATCTCACTCTGTCATCCAGGCTGGAGTGCAGTGGTATGCTCACAGCCACCGCAGCCTCGGCCTGCTGTGCCTCAGCCTTCCAAGAAGCTGGAACCACAGGCATGTGCCACTACACCCAGCTGATTTTTTTTGAGTTGGAGTCTCACTGTCGCCCAGACTGGAGTGCAGTGGCTGCTCCCAGCCACCGCAGCCTCGACCTGCTGGGCTCCGGCGATCCTTCTGCCTCAGCCTTCCGAGTAGCCGGATCTATAGGCATGCGCTACCACGCCCGGCTGATTTTTTTATTTATTGTAGAGATGAGGTCTCGCTGCCCAGGCGGGTCTCGAACCTGCGGGTTCAGGCAATCCACTCACCTCAGCCTCCCAAAGGTGCGGGATTACAGGCTGAACCACCAAGCCTGGCTGACTCAGCTGATTTTTTGAGATGAGATCTCACCGTGTTGCTCAGGCTGGTCTCAAACCCCTGAGCTCAGGCAGTCTTCTCACCTCTGCCTCCCAAAGTGCTGAGATTACAGGCGTGAGCCACCACACCCGGCTCATTTAGTGTTTTCCAGTTAATTAGTACTTTGAAAAAGTTAAGGACCATTGATCAGAATCAGGAAAATTTGAATAATACAGCTTTCTTAATGGTAAATACATCGATTTACTGATTGATTGATTCAGAGTCTTATTCTGCCACTCAGACTGGAGTACAGTGGCACACTCACAGCCCAGGCGATCATTCTGGCTCAGCCTTACAAGTAGCTGGAACTACAGTGAGCTACCACACCCAGCCAAATTTTTGATTCATTGCAGAAACGAGGTCTGACCATATTGCCCAGGCAGATCTCAAACCCATGGGCTCAGGCAATCCTCTTGCCTCCACCTCCCATGTGCTGGTATTATAGACATGAACCACCGCACCCGGCAGTAAAGTTTTAACAACTTATGAGAAAACTAGATTTCCATTGCTTTCCTAATAATTACTAGTTCAGGCAGACAAAGAAGTATAGGGAAAATAGAGTGAACAATGTAAGTCTACCTCCAGGTTAAGAAACACAATATTAACATTCTGCTGAATTTCACTGTGTCATTGCCAATTGTTCATCTCTCTAACAACTCCCCAGAAATAGCCACTGTCTTGAACTTGGTGTTTATTATTCAAAATTGGACTTTTAAAAAAACAATATCTTTTTTTTCCACACAGCTATCTGCATCATATTGGTGCATTTACTGATCCGATACAGATTACATTTCTTGCCAGAGAGCGTTGCTGTTGTTTCTTTAGGTAAGTGCCTGTTGGTAATCCCATAATAAAAGCTGTAACTGTAACTGCCATTTTTGAGTGCCTTGTTAGTGTCAGAAACCATGATAGACGCATTACATACCTGCTGTCATATACTTTTCATTGCAATCTGCCATCAGGGTATTAGGATCCCATTTTACAGATGAGGACATTGGGGCTGGACAGGGGTGGTGTCCTTCTAAAAGTCACATAGAATCCCATCTATGCAGCTCAGAGGCCCTTGCTAGGGTGTCTACTTCCGGTAGAACTATCCTCAGAGCACACTGGCCTCTGCTATTGGCTAGGCTGACATCCATCTCAACCAAGGCAGGGAATTAATTGCCTTAGTACCTAGAATTGCTAAATGCTTCATCCAGAAGTGACTCTGGCTTTGCAGTATAGGGAGGAGAAATTGCTCATTGAATGTTAGAGTCTGATGTCTTCAGAGAGCATTCCAGTCTACCCTGCTTACATTTTTCATTTGTTTCTTGTGACAACTGTTAAGATACCTAACTTCTAGCTGGAGTGAATAAGTCAGTGTGATAACAGTTCATTGAAGTGGTTAGTGAAGGAAGAAATGGGGACATTTCAGTAAATGTCAAATTCAAGGCTAAAATGTGGGTAGATCCCTCTGTCTCTTTCTCTGTCTCTCCCTGTCTCTCCCCTCTCTCTCTGTCTCTCTCCCTCTCTGTCTCCACTCCCCCCTCCACCTCCTCTCATTCCCTCCTCTCTCCCTCTCTTCCCATTCCCTCTGTCTCTCTCTCTTTCCTTCTCTCCTTTGCTCTCTCTCCCTCTCCCTCTCCCTCTCTCTCTTTCTTTCTCTCTTCCTCCCTCCCTTTCTCTCTCTCCCAATTTCTCTCTCTCTTCCCACTAAAAAAAAGAGAAAAAAAACTGCGGATAGAGACTCTCAAGGCACAGTGTTGACAAAGGTTGGTCCAAGCTTTTACCAATGTATTATATTGTAATGTACTAGTTTCCACTTGCCTACTGATGCTATTTAATTTTTCCTGATCAGCACTGATGCTTTATAAGTTAATTTTCTTTGCCTGGCAGATCTTATTTGGTGGAGTAGGAATTCTTGCACGGTATAGCTACGGTGTATTCAGGTTGTTCACTAGCCCTCCTTTCTCCCTCACTGCCTGTACTCTTCCTGCCTCCCTGCTGCAGACCCTCTTGTACTTCTCTAGGCATCACAGCACTGCTTCCCTGCCTGCCAGGTTCTGGCCACCGAGCTTTCACAATCATCTCTTAAGCCTCAGAATTTCCATGTGATGCTCTTTTTAGGACCAGGTACAGCCATGCAATGTTGATCTTCAGTGCAAAGCTGGGAACCAGGCTTACCCAGAGTCCCTGTTCTCTTTTTAGCAGATTATTTAGCTGCACATCTTGGCAGATTCTCGCCACCTTAGTTGACAGGGTGTCTTAGAGCTCTGCAAATGGGAGGTTCACTCATCGACATTCCTTTCTGCCATTAGGCATATTGAAAATGATCTACATAGGTAATACTCATGATTCTGGGATATTCAGTAAAGGCTTAAAAAACCACTCTAAGGAATTGACAGTTTTGTGATCAATTTCCTAGTTTCTTAGGAATCAGAATTATACTTAGTATGTGTTTAGGTATTGGACACACGAAAGTTACAACGATAGTTCTGGCCGGGCACAGTGACTCGCACCTGTAATCCCAGCACTTTGGGAGATGGAGGCGAGAGGATTGCCTGAGTCCAAAAGTTTAAGACCAGCCTGGGAAACTTGGTGAGACCTCATCTCTACAATACATGAAAAAATTAGCCAGGCATGGTGACGTGTGCCTGAACTTCCAGCTGCTTGAAAGTCTGAGATGGGAGAATCTCCTGAGCTCAGCAGGTTGAGGCTGCAGTGGCCATAAACATGTCACTACACTTTAGTCTGGGCAACACAGTGAGACTCTGACTCAAAAAAATAAATGAAATAAAATAAAATGATAGTTCTTATCATTTGCTTTGAAATGTCAAGTTCATCACTGTCTCCTGAATGTTTCAGTAACTGTAGTTCACTGAACACCAGTACTTCCATTAGATCTTAGAGCAGACATTGTTGGTTGCCTACCCAAGAGATATTTCCCCCTTTTTCCTTGAAAACAGAAGTCTAATTTTGATCAAGTTTCTTGCCACAGTGCACTCAAAGAGACTCTCCAAGTCAGGGTTGGTCTTTGCCACCATGGTAAATCCACTCTTCTCTGCCAGCGATGGGATAAGAGGGGTGGAGACAGTGAGGCAGTGAGATTCCAACTCAAAAAAAAAAAAAAATCTATTGTTTAAGCTATTTTTAGACAGATGTTTCTTTACTTCCAGTTAAAAGAATCTTAACAGCCAGTCTCCATGGCTAAGCCTGTAATCCCGCGCCTTTGGGAGGCTGAGGTGAGTGGATTGCCTGAGCCCGCAGGTTCGAGACCTGCCCGGGCAGCGAGACCTCATCTCTACAATAAATCAAAAAATCAGTCGGGCGTGGTAGCGCATGTCTGTAATTCTGGCTACTTGGAAGGCTGAGGCGGAAGGATCACCGGAGCCCAGCAGGTCGAGGCTGCGGTTGGCCGGGAGCGGCCACTGCACTCCAGTCTGGGCAACAGAGTGAGACTCCAACTCAAAAAAAAAAAAAAAAAAGCATCTTAACTAATATAGAACTCTTAGCATTTAAGGGACAAAACCCAATTCAAAAGAAAACAAATCGAGGCTCTAGGCACAGTGGTTCATGCCTGTAATCCTAACATTTTGGAAGGGCAAGGTGGGAAGACGGCTTGAGCCCAGGGGTTTGAAAACAGCCTGGGCAACATAGCGAGACCTCATCTCTACAAAAAAAAAAAATCAAAAAATTAGCCTCATGTGGTGGTGCATGCCTGTATTCCTAGCTACCCAGGACACTGAGGCGGAACAATCACCTGAGCCCAGGAGAGCTGTGATCATGCTACTGCACTCCAGCCTGGGTGACAGAGTGAGATCCTGACTCAAAAAAAAAGGGAAACAAATCTATGGGGTGGGGTTATACATCTGTTAGCTCATGTAAGCTGACACTCCAGGCAGTGCTAGCTTTAGACTTAACTGAGTCAAGTCTGCAGGTCAGTTCTCTGTTTCTTACCGTGCTTCCTAGTTTTTTTGTTTGTTTGTTTGTTTTTTTGAGTTGGAGTCTTACTTTGTCGCCCAGGCTGGAGTATAGTGACATGCTCCTGGCCACCTCAGCCTCAACCTGCTGGGCTTAGGCTATCCTTCTGCCTCAGCCTTCTAAGTAGCTGGAACTACAGACATGCACCATCACACCCGGCTAATTTTTCTTGATTTATTATAGAGATGAGGTCTCGCCAAATTGCCCAGGCTGGTCTCGAACTTGTGGGCTCAGGCAGACCTCTCACCTCGGCCTCCCAAAGTGCTGGAATAATAGGCGTGAGCCACCGTGCCTGGCCTGTGTGGTAAGCTCTTACTGCCACAACAGCAGTGGGAAAGAGCCTTGTCTTCCCTCTGGTACTAGCAGCAGTAGGACAAACTCAGACCACGTGGCTACCTCAGAATCGGGGCTGGGTGGAATGGGTTGCGGGTTGGCCAGAGCTTGCCATCTACAGGGTTCATTTCTTCACTGACGTTGCAGACATAATTGCAGCCTGGATAGCCAGCTCCTGGGAGAGGTGATGGAGAGTAAGTCTTGCTTTCAATGCATATCTATTAACTCAGGAGATGGGAAGGCTAAGAGCACTTCCAGGGAAGGAGAGTTGGGGTCCAGGAAGACTTTTTACTATAGAAGAGAACATTTGGTTAGAATTTGCAAATGCTGGCAGGGGTATGAAAATAGTTCTGTGTTTCATAAGGCTATAAAAGTGGAAGAAAAATTTTTTTCTCCAAGTGGAGCAAAGTGTAACAAAATATTGAGATATCTACCATTTCAAGGATTTCTAAGTTATGTGCCGAAAAAGAATCTAGATGAAGCTGCCAGAGAACTCAAGTTTTCATTCCTTCGTGGGTAAGTTTTCTTAGCCTGCCTCTGCTAGTCAGAAGTTACTTTTTAGTCTGCAGTCAATTAGCGACATTATTGGCCTTTTGTTTTATGGTTATGTGTTCAGAGTTCCTAAGAAATTGTTGGTATAGGAAAGGATCATGTGCACTCAAAAAGCACATTTTCCCCTTTTTAAAAATATATTTTCAAGTAGGTGTTTATCTGACCTTTTTTCATTCTTTATACAAACATAGTATCAGGCAGAGTGCAGTGGCTCACGCCTATAATCCCAAACTTTGGGAGGCTGAGGCAGAAGGATCGCTGGATCCCAGTAGTTCAAGACCAGACTAGGCAACATAGTGAGACCCATCACTACAAAAAATAAAAAAATTAGCAGGGTATGGTGGCACATACTTGTTGTCCCAGCTACTTAGGAGGCTAAAATGGGAGGATCTCTTGAATTCAGGAGTTAAAGGTGCAGTGAGCCAGGATTGTGCCACTGTACTCTATCCTGGGTGACAGAGTAAGATCCCTGACTCATAAATAAATACATAAATATTCTAAAAAGATTTCCATGGCCCTTTTTTGAGTTGGGGTCTCACTCTGTTGCCCAGGTTAGAATGCAGTGGCACGATCATGGCTTACCACAGCCTCGCCATCCTGAACTCAGATGATCCTCCTGCCTCAGCCTCCCGAGTAGCTGAACTACATGTGCACACCACCACTCCAGATAATTTTTAAATTGTTTTTTGTAGAGACAAGGTCTTGCTTTGTTGCCTAGGCTGGTCTCAAACTCCCTCCTGCCTCGACTTCCCAAAGTGCTGGGATTACAGGTGTGAGCCATTGTGCCCATCTTTTTCTTTTCTTTTTCTTTTCTTTTTCTTTGAGTCATAGTCTCACTCTGTTGCCCAAGCTGTAGTGCAATAGCATGTTCACAGCCACCGCAGCCTCAACCTGCAGAGTTCAGGTGATCCTTCTGCTCCAGCCTTCCAAGTAACTGGAACTACAGGTATGTGCCACCACGTCCAGCTAATTTTATTATT